AAACATTATTACTTAATTGTATCTTGGGTTTTCTTCATAGATTGTCTTCAAAATGTGTAATTTTTACAGTTAATATTTGATATTAAGTTAGAGTTGTATCATATTAAATAGTGGCTAGTAAATGAAAATCATAAGTCTGACAAACCTGAGCAAAGGCCCCCATAGGGATTTCAGGTAACCCACAAGCCCTTAGGATATGGGGCTCCACAACCATGCCTGTCGTCTGCAGCAGCAAACCCCAGACGCATGACCACTTAGGTCTACTGTCTTGTGGCTAAAGCTCCTAAAAAGTTGAATGTGCAATCCAAAATCTATAAAATACCCCAAATCATTCATGCATAGCTATGTTTTACATTGGTGTATAATTATGTATTGATTCATATTATTCATTTTAAATGCCTTGCCTTTTGGACATGCTTTCATAACTGTGCACATTTATTTTATGCAAATCAACACAGAATGGCCTTTAGATGTATGTGCATAGGTAAACGACTAAATGGCATGAATAAAGTAGAAATATTATGGAAACTGCTGGCAGTTTAGAACCTTACATTTGCCTCACTTCAAAATGATTTCCTATATATTATCTCATTCCCAGCCCAGTTACAAGCCCATGATGTAAATTAATAATCATCATAAGTCAGAGTACACATTTAGAAAAAATTTAGGTACTTTCACATAACCCATTGATCTATGTACACACAAAAAGTTGATATACACAATTCTATATCATAGATAGTATATCCAAAGTGTCTCTGGAATCTGTCCACTTCTCCATTTTCCCACAGTGACCATTCTAGTTTTGACCTCTTCATCCCTTTCCTACATTTTCCCTCCTCTCTAATCTATCCCACATACAAACTTCCCACAGCATCCTTTATCTAAATGCAGATCTAGTTCCATCCCTCCTTTGCTTACGAATCCACCACACCTTCCCGCTCTCCACCTAGTGCTTCACCAAGGGGCCTGCCAAATACCTAGAACAGACCACAGCAGGTAAAGTAATCCCTTTGAAAATGTATGTTTTGTCTTTAAAATGCATGCACATTTTTTCATTCTAATCTATAATTTATACGTGTTGGATTTAATACAAATATCATGGTTTGGACTGTTTCCATTTCTAGGAAAATATGCTATAGCAAGCTGATCTTGCAGCTTCACAAAACCTGCCCCCTCATGCACTTGGAGGTACCCAGACTAGGGCCCAGGGCAAAAGCTAAACTCTGCAGAGGCCCTCAAAACACCTCACACTCTACACCCCTCTCTGAATCCACCTTATACCTTGTACCCTACACCAAAATATAATTCTATCCTTCATCTTGTAAGGTGCGTTTCTAGAATATAATTCTTACAAAAGGGTCTGTTAAAAAACAATTAGTAGTTGGTCAATACTATATCCCTCTTTTAGAAATTCTCAATAAACATAAGCACATTAAATTTTCTGAGAAGTCTTGCAGCAAAACTTGCAGCCAAGATCAACTAGGAGCTGATGATACTGCAGCCAGTGTTCCATAGAATACACCTTGTTGAGGGTGTGCTGTCCTCCCCTGCACCCTCAGTCTTTCCTCACCCTGTTCCCTTTACCTGGAAAGCCTTTCCTACCTCCTCCCATTGGGAAACTCCCACTTGCTTTTAGAAATTTAACTACCTCCTCTTTGAAACCATTCCCAGCCACTCTAGCTGGATATAAATGTTTTCCCCTATGTGTATATGTATCACTTTGTAGAGGCATTTATGTTAAATTATACATGTGGTAATCTTAGATTTACATGTCAGTCTCCCTAGCCAGATTGTGAGTTCTAAAAGTAGAAATCATCCCTTATGCATTTATGAATTCCCAGAATCTAGCAATGTCCACAAGATGAGCTCATTTTGTACGTGTGGAATAAATTGATGAATGAGCAAATGATCTTGCACAAAAATAAAATAAGTAGTATCATATGCCATCTCCCTATCGCTCCAGCCAGGAAATGTCTGCCAGAAAAAGGTGAAACAATAACAAGATACGGGGGGAATGGTCTCTAGAACAGCCCAGTCAGAAAGGGCAAATGACCCCTAGAATTGAATTTATAAAGAGAATCTTGTACCAGTCAAGACTTTGCCACAGGAATCGCTTATGAGAACCACTGTGTCTCTGTCCAGGGTAGTGAGATTCCAGCTGGAAAGCCCTGGCTCTTCTTCAAAACCAGGCAGAGCCAAGTCCGACTGGAATACAAATGTTTGCATATTTCATTACTTCTGATAAAGAGACTTTCTTTTCACCCAGGATCTCAGGACAGTCACATTCAATCAGTTACAGTTCAGCCAGTTTAAATAAAATAAGCTGATTTTGTTCCACAAAAGAAGTTACCAGCTCTAAAGAGGCAGAAAATGCAAAGGACTCTAGAGTCAGATGTGGGGTTTCCTCGCAGCCCTGCCTGTAACCAATGAGTAACCTTGGGCAAGTGATGACACTTTTCTAGGCATCAGCTTCCTGAACTCTTGAGTTGAGTAGCTACATGATTAAGATGGAGCAAACCATCAGTGAATCACCAGCATGTGGGAAGCAGTTTCTCTTAACTAATCCTCTTAAAACCCTGTGAAGTGGGTATTACTCTTCTCATTTTACACATGAGGAAACAGGGCTTAGAAAGGTAAAGTAATTTGCTCAAGGCCACTCCATGAGCTCACAGCATTGCCTGGCTGGGAAGTACAATGGGTTCATGGATAGATCCATGGCCAAGGTGAGATCAAGGCTTCCCCCCGCCACTTCCACAACCTCTGTCTGAAGACAGCTATCTTCACGTGTGTTTCTCTAACACTGGAATGTTGATGACACACAGTACTCGTGATTTATGTTAAGTTTCCTAACTTGACAAAAGTTTGTGTTTTATTTTATTTTGTATTTGTCATATCGTGTAACCCTAGGTTATGCCTAAATTTCTCATGAGACCCAAAAATCTCTCATATAATCTGATTCGTTAAGGGTCTCTTAAAGGGGCAGAGGCCCCCAAGAAGAAGTTTGCAACTTCTTGGTGAGCGCCTCCTCTCCAACAGAGATTGCCACAGCCTCAGGAGGCCTGCTCCACCTGCTCACTGCTCCTGCTCCTAGGCTGAGTGGCCAATGAACCCTCACATCGCATCCAGCAACCTCAAGGACCACTCCAAGAGTGGCAGCTATGGAGCATACACACACCGTGAGGCAGTCTGGCTGGAGCCAGCCATGGGCAAGTAGGGTGGGTTTCACTTTCTCACCTTATGATGCGCCACTTGTGGAGTGTGTTAGCTCAGCTGCCTTGTCCTCTGTCACGTTGAGGGGGAGGGTTGTTTTGTTTTGTTTTGTTTTGCGTTGATGAAAATGATCATAGTCATGTATCTAGCTTTGTGGCCTCTCCAAGTTGCCTCCTCATTCTTCAGCTCATCATAGTGACCAATGAAGCGCTAGCATGTCCATTTTATTAACAGGAAAGTACAGACTCAGGACGCCTACAGAACTTACCTAAGATGAACCATCCAGAGATGGGCAGAGCCAGAACCCACCAAGGCTCCCAAGTAAAAATCCTGAGCCCCTTGAAGTAACAGAGATGCTGCTCCATAAGGCATTGACCCCAAAATGCCCCAGAGCCATGTGCCCCTCCCAAAGTCTCCACATCTGCATTTGTCTCTGATCTGGCTTACCTCAACACTAGAGCTTCTTTTTCAGCCTCTCTTCCCCCATAACTCAAAATCTCCATCCTTTCCCCTCTCCTGTAGCCTGAGCTCTGTAAACAGCAATATGCTCTTTTGTAACCTACGCGACAGCACTTGTCTTCCTTTACAGCTCTCCTCTCCTGATAACTCGTCCACATTATCACATGTACATGGAATATTTTAAAGCACAGTTCCATCTGTAGGAGGAAGTACACATTTAACACAGGTGTAAATATAAGAAAGGAAGCCATTCACTGCAGCTGTTTTAACTAGGTGAAGTGATGTAGCATGCATCAGTGTGGGGACTCTGTAGGATTATGAAATATCACCTGTCTTCTTACTCCACTTATCTGAACCCCTCTGGTGGCTCCTAGCACTTCCTAGGCGGAGTTGTGGCTATTCTCACACCTCTTTCCTACCATATTCTTCCCTCCCCCTGAACACCATTGTCCCTGTGTCCCACCTCTGCCCCATATTGCCCCAGAACTGAATCCAATGCCTTGTACAGACTATACGTTGAAACCCATTTATAATGAATTAAACACTTTTGTAAAATATTTGTATCGTATGAAAGATATGCCAATGAAAATTAAATATTCAAAGCAGTCTAGAAGAGCAAAAGAACAAACTTGCACAGATTTGCCAATGTAAGTGAGCACTAATAAGTCTGCAAGGCAAGAAGGCCATGGGGCCAGGGGCAGCTTCCTGAAGAAGAGACCTCGGGTGTGGAGCCTTGCTTCTTATCAGAGCAGCACTACCATCGCTACCCTCACCAGCAAGGCAAAAAAATGCCCCTTACTGGAATGAAGTAGGTGGTCTAAATGCTCACAGCTGGCCCTCTGCCTGGACAGATTTACCAGCTGCAAAGCCCAGGGCCAGGCCCCTACCCAAAAAAAAACCTCCATTCCACAGGCAGCAGCAAAGTCTAGAAACAGCTAAATTGACACCGAATGACAGACTGCATGCTAACACTGACACCATAAGTGGTACCAAAATGTGACCATTTGCATCCTGTTCTTGCTGATTCCGAGCTCGGGATAGGGATACTTTCACCCTGAGTTTCTAAGCTGAGGCAAAGGTGGGACTGAAGTACCCACGACAGGTGGCCGGGGCCGTGGAACATGCTGCAGCGGGTTCCTCCTCAGCGGGTGGGGAAACTGAGGCATGCAGTAGACTGCAGGGCCCGGTCAGCGTCTGAGCGTGGGCCCACCTCGCCAGGGGCCAGCTAGATTGTCCGGGCCAAGTTACACCACCTGGCCACCAGATGCTTCCACAACACTCAGAGCCCACGGCGGGGAGAGGGCAGCCCGGCGGCTGGGGCCAGGACTCACCACGTCCATGATCTGCAGGAGGCTCAGTGAGAAGTAGACAGTGAGTGGCTGCGAGTCGTTGGCCACGGGCCTCTCCAATGGGTTGTAGTTCTTGACCAGGTCTTTGTAGAGCTTCCTCTGGAACTCGCCTTGCAGGGACACTTAAGGAGAGGAGAGCCGGGCAGGCTGTTCAGGGAAGGCCGGCATAGGTGCGTCCCATGCACCCTGCCCACGACCTCCGCCGCCCAAATGTTGCAGCCCCGACAAGCGGGGCTCGCCCTCTCCGGGCTGCTCCTGGCAGCGCCCCCCCTCCTGCCCCTCGCCGGCTCCAGCCCCCAAATCTAGCCTCGGTGCGGGACACACCGAGCCGCCCAAGATGCGCCCAGGATCCCCCGGAGAAGGAGTGGAGGGCTGGGAGACCTGGGGGCTTTACCGTGTAAGAGAGACGCGGCCAGCGCCAGCCAGACCGAGCGGCGCATGTTGGATCCCGCAGCTGCCGCGGACCGGCGCGCCCCGCGTTTCGGCTGTCGCCCCGGGCCTGCGCCTGCGGCCCCGGAGCCGCCTCTCCCGGCTCGGCTCGCGGGCCTTTAAGGAACCGAGCGCGCGCCTCCGCCCCGCCCACCTCCGCGCGCCTCTCCACGTGACGAGCCCCGCCCCCGCGCTCCTATCCCCACCCCAGCCCGCCCGTGGGGGCCGAGGCGGCGCTGCGGCCGCCCGGGAAACTGCAGCTGGCAGGTGGGAGCGGGAGGTGCACCTCGGTGCTGGTTATTGTCCGGACACCACGCCCCGCTTGCCTTGTCTACACCGAGCCAGGTCTCCGCACCACGCCTCTGGCCACGCCGGGGGCTGTCCAAGGCCGGGCTCTGCCGGTCCCTTCTGTCCTTTGTCCCCACTCCGCTTTCTCCCGCTCTCAGAAGCTGCGCTGGGCAGTTGGGAGAAAGCCGGGACAATTCTGGGATCCAGTCTTCCAGTGCCTTCCCGCCCCCACGGCAGCTGCTGAATGACAGCGACCCGGAGCCAGGCTCCCACAGGTTCGGAAGTCTCTCCCCAACCAGGCAAGACAGACCTAAGAGGAAGACCCCTCCGACCTCCCGCCGGATCCGGGTTTTCTTTCGGCAACCATTTGCTGGACATCACCAGCCCGATTTTCATCTAGGTTCTGGAAGTGCTGAGAGGAGAGGCGAAGTCTCTGCCAGGGAGGCATTCTATAGGGGAGCAGAGACGCTGCAAAAGTGTGTGATGGGATTCCCAGTGGATATCCTCTTTATGTCTCATTCTCTTTTAAAGGAGAGTCAAAAGATTGAAAAGTTAGCTCCCTGCTGGCCCCCTGGCATAGCGGTTAAGTGCAGGAGCTCCGCTGCTGGCGGCCCAGGTTCAGATCCCAGGCATCCACCTACACACCGTGTGTCAGGCCATGCTGTGGCTGCGGCCCATATAAAGTGGAGGAAGATGGGCACGGATGTTAGCTCAGGGCTGATCTTCCTCACACACACACTAAATAAATATAAAAAAGCAGGAAAAAAAAAAAAAGGAAAGTTAAATCCCAACCCCTTTCTGGAAGGACAGCCAAAGCTTGGTGATGCCATCTAGGCTTTTTTTGAGCCCTGGAGAGAGTTATTTGCCAAGGGGAGGCTCAGAGAAGACACCAGTCAAAGGGGTTAGGGGCTAAGTAGGGTCCCAGATGTCGAGGATAAAGCATGGTTCTGAAAGAGGAAAGGAGAGAGGGTACTGAGGAGTGGCTTCAAGAGTGGTGGAAAGCTCTGTCCCATTCGCTCACTGGCAAGCAGGTTGCGGACAGCTGAGTGGAGCCGAGTGCTGAGTGCAGCCGAGTTCCCTGCGCCCACGTAGGGGGCGCTGCCTCTTGCCTTCCTTCAAGCCCCAGAACATCTGATCTACACCAGGACCTCAGCCACTGTAGACCAGAAGAGGCAATGCCCACATTTCTAAAGTGCATAAGACACGAATTTCTTGGATAACGCCAAAAACTAGGGAAAGGCTGAGCAAAACGTGACTGCCCTTGAATTTACCCCAGCACCAGGAAAAAGCGACTGAGCCAGTTATTTGATTTGGGAAAACAAAGAAATGTGACAGCCTTGCAATGAAGTAGCAAATTCACACCTGTTAACTGATGCATGTTTGAACAAATAATCAGTGTAGGCTTTGATAACTGCGATAGGATCCTAGAGGAAGGAAGGCTTCATTCTTTCTGGAGAAGAGCTCATGGAAGAGATGACAGCTGACTTGGGCTTGCCTGGAAGGAGATGTTCGGCCAGAAGAAGGGTACGCCAGAGCGGGGTTTCCTGGTGAGCAGACAGACGTGCTGGTAGCTTCATCTGGCTCCTGAGTTCCACACCATCTGTGGCAGACTGGATGCACTCAGAGCTGGCACGTGGTGAAGGAATGAGCTACAGGGTATTGGCTGCTGGCAAAAAAGGAGTCAGAGAAGGAAAATAACACCCAAGAACAGAATAGAGGAGGCATAAGGGGCATCAGCTGGAAGAGTCTCACTGGCACGCCACCTCCACTGGTCATGTGAATGCAGGACTTGCTCTCTTACATATTTTCTGAAAGTGCCTGAAAACGCTGCCTTCCGTTCTAGAGGAATGTGAGCCCAGAGGAGCCAAGAGAATTCATGTATCTTGAATATTGGGATCACGTTCCTGAAAGCATAACTACTTCCCCATGTCCCTTGTACCCCATAACATGGGAAATAAACCATTTTCCAGTGGGACAACAGGTCAATATTTATTTATGCCCTGTGCTCTGCTAGGTGCCTGGAGGACCCACTAGCACAATCTACTCACTCAGTTTACAATTTGGAGCTGACGTGGGTGTGGAAAAATAAATTCCAGTCTGTGCTGTGCCAATAGGTAGATCTGTAAGTTTGGCTACTTTCACCCTGTCTATGGGCCTCAGTTTTTTCATTTGTAAAATGAAGAAAGGAGTAGGACCATCTCGGAGTAGAGCTGACTGAGCTATGCAGGCCCCCCTATCACTCCAATTCCCAACATAAAGAAAGGGTAAATAAAACATGAGAGGAAATTGATATATACTTGAGCTTAGAAAGGCAGGGGCCAGAAACAAATCCAGAGAAATTACGCACAAACTGATAGAGCTACCATAGTCCAGGGGAGAGGCAGGCCTAGACATGGGCTCTGAAGATAAGAGTCTGAAAGTTTAACACACCCCAATGAGGCAACCTGGCCTTGAGTCTCTGACATGTGCGGAACTGGAATGGAGACATCCACATAAATCCAGAACCTGGAAAAATCTCCCCTTCTGTGTAAAAGAGACCAGAAAACCCCAACCATGACCCAGGGAAGTCGGAGGAAGCATGTTTTCTGCTTTGGCTCTAGATAGGGGAAAACAGGTAGCCATCCACTGAAAAACCCAAAAGTGCATTAGACTCAGTCCAAATGTGTACTACCCACATAGTTTAGAATTCAAGAATTCCTCTGGAGGAAGACTTCCATAACTTCACATACATGGGACCTAAAGAAAATTACAACCTTCGCCAAAATAAGCTCAAGCTAAAAAGTATAAAACACACAAGGAAACAAACTACATGCCATATGAGGCAATAGTCAATAGTAAGAGAAAGTTCACAGGCAGAATAAACAGGACAATTACTGCCCCACAATCTGACATAATAAGAAAATCTGGGGGACAAAAAAGAAAACTATAAAGTAAGTAAAGCAAAAATCACATTATAATTAGCAAATGAAATCCAAAAAAGCATAAAAATTCATAATTATCAAGTAAGATTGTATTAGCTTAAGCTACATAACAAAATACCCCAGACTGGGTGACAAACAACAGACGTGTATTTTCTCACAGTTCTGAAGGCTGGAAGTCCCAGATTAAGGTGCCATTAGTGTTAGTTTCTGGTGAGGTCTCTCTTCCTAGCTTGTAGACAGCCACCTTTTCACTGTGCCCCCACTTGGCCTTTCCTCTGTGCATGCACAGAGAGAGAGAAAGAGCTCTGGTGTAGAATCAGATATTTATTTTATACTTTGGGTTATAATCCAATATGACTTTATTTTGTTGCTCAAAGTATTCCAGCCTCAGCCACTAGGGGCTCTTTCAGTTGTCTCCTGTGTCCCTTTGATATACTGCCTGGTAGTTTTCGTTGAGTACTTGCATACTTTCTAGCCCTACAAGATGCTCCAGACTTCTCTTGTAATATTTCTGGCCCCGGTCCTAAAATCAGCCTTTTCTTCAAGGATCCCTAGTTCCTTTTCTTTGAAAAAGGTGTTAGAAATAAAGATCTGAGCACTGGGTGTGCATGTTGCTACTGGGTAAGGTTGCTTCTAGGCCTTCTGAAGCTGTCAGAGGAAGGAGATATATGTTTATCTAACCCATGTATATACACGTACTTATCTATATCCATGTTAAGCCACATATAAGTTCACACTGAAGTCTCCAACTCTAATCTAATACCGCATGGTTCATTCTAGCCTCCTCCTGCTTGCTTGCAGGTAACTTCCAACTCCAAAAGTGAGAAACCTGGCTCACACCATCGCCATCTACTTACTTACTGGTTGAATTTCAGTACAGTCGTCCATCAGTATCCATGAGGGATTGGTTCCAGGACCTCCATGGATACCAAAATCTGCAGATGCTTAAGTCCCTTATATAAAATGGTGTAGTATTTGCATATAACCTATCCATATCCTCCTTTATACTTTAAATCATCTCTAGATTACTTATAATACCTATTAGAATGTAAATACTATGTAAATTATTTTTATACTGTATTGTTTAGGGAATAAAGACATAAAAAAATGTCTGCACATGTTCAATACAGTCCTCGGATGTGGAACCCTCAGATACGGAGGGCTGACCGTATACAAGGATAAAAGTTTCAAAATTCTTAGCCTGTGCCCTTGAGGGATGTAGATGTGCTTTACCAACTGAAGTACAGTGCTTAAGTAGTCCTTTTTGCCTTTAGTCTTAAAGTCTACACTCATTTACAAAGTTACTTAAGTCAGTAATTTTTTCTCCAATCCTTTCACTGAGAATATTTCAGATTTTTTTTTTTTTTTTGGTGAGGAAGATCAGCCCTGAGCTAACGTCCATGCTAATCCTCCTCTTTTTGCTGAGGAAGACCGGCCCTGAGCTAACATCTATTGCCAATCCTCCTCCTTTTTTTCCCCCAAAGCCCCAGTAGATAGTTGTATGTCATAGTTGCACATCATTCTAGTTGCTGTATGTGGGACACGGCCTCAGCATGGCCAGAGAAGCGACGTGTCAGTGCGCGCCCGGGATCCAAACCCGGGCCTCCAGTAGCGGAGCACGCACACTTAACCACTAAGCCATGGGGCCAGCCCTCGGATATTTTTAATACTGCTAGATATTTTTGTCATAGTCAATATTCCATCATGGGATCCCTTGAACTCCTAGATGATTTTTTAAAAATATGCATCAATTGGGCTTATTCTTTTTGCTATAAAGTTCTATGGATTTTGAAAAATGCATAGTGTCATGTCTCTACCATGAAAGTAATATACAGAAAGTTTCTCTGTCCTGTAAACTCCCCTGTGCTTCACCTATTCATCTCTCTCTTCTTGCCA